CAGAGGTTGCTGGTCACAGCGGGGCCAGCAGTGGACCACGAGGAGCTGGGATCGGGTCCCATCCTGAGGGGGCGGGGGCAAGAGGGGCCTGGAGGCAGCCTGGGCCCAGGGCCGCGGTCCATCCTGTGCCTGTCACCTGCCACCCTGCTGTAGCCACAGACACCCAGAGCCACTCCACCTGTGGTCTCTTCCCTGGGGGTCCACACGGACCCTGAGTGGCCGTGGGGAGTTCTGTGTGGACAGGCGCGCTCTCTTGGTTGACACGGTGGTTGCCAGTGTCCACACCTGTCCTTCCCTTCCAGCCCCACCTCAGCAAGGGGACACCTGCCTGCCCCCAGCTGCCGTAGCTCGTCTCAGGTGGTCTACGCCTGCCCCAGCCCACGTGGACCCCATTCAAGGGCTAGGTCCACCTGTGGTCCCGGGCCAGCACCGCAGGGGCCCACGCCGTGGTCTGGACAGGCCATGGCTCACGTCCTCCTGGGCACTGACTGTGGGGGGTGCAGCTCACGTGCTTGTCCCCATGTGGAGAGCCTCCGTCACCCGTGTGCTGAGGCCACTCTAACCAAGCACCTGGTGTCCCGGGTGTCCCTGGGCCCTCCGCACTGTGGTCACCAGCACTGACTCCTGGTCTCGGGCCGGTGGGACCCCTCGCCCTGGCCTTCAGGCTCAGCCTGGCCACTGAGTCTCCGCGTCTCCACGCAGACGTCCTGACGCCTGGCCACACCCGGGCCACACTGACGCGTGTCTGCGGAGGGCTCGCCGGGATCGAGTCAGACCCACACCACTGTTCCGCCTGGTAACTCACCTCTTCACACGTGGACACTCCGTGTCCCTTCGCTGATCGACGTCCTCTTTCATCTAGTGTGGGGTCCTTGTCAGAGTCCCGACCGGCGTCTAGCGGCTTCCGACCCCGTGGGAGTGGTGTCCGCGGGAGCTCCCGCTATCTTGTGGCTGTGAGTCCCACGTGGTGAGCGCCAAGGGCTGGTTCCTGCCCTGGTCCTGGCTAAGCCACTTTAAACCTCACAGGGCCCTGGGGGCAGCTCCTCTCCTTCAGGGAGAGGCCGCTGTGTCCATATCGACAGATGTGAAATCCAGGCCACACGCTGACCCCAGGGCGCTGGACCCCTGAGCCAGGCCCAGGCCTTTGTCATTTTATTTAGAGACGGGGTCTCTGACGCTCAGGGCCTTGCTGAGGCTGGCCTTCAAGTTGGGACCCTCCTGCCTCAGGCTCCCGAGTCGCTGGGACCCCAGGTGGGCGCCACCAGGCCCGGCTCCGCGTCCTCTTCAGCCCGGGTGCTCAGCCACAGAGGATCCAGTTTCCCTGGACGTGTGACTGTGTGACTGGCAGGAAAACTCAGAGGACGAGGTGAGCGCCAGGCCCACTCCCGGAGGTGGTGAGTGCGAGGGGCAGCAGAGGGCTGCGTGCACACACACGCTGTCCCTGGCCCACAGCGGGCCAGGTGTGCGTGCGTGGCGGTTTCCCAGTGTGCGCACGGAGCCAGACTCGGCCACCAGACGGGGTCGGGTCAGGAGCCCTGAGCCGGTGGGCGGCTCTGGACGATCCCAGCTCTGACTCACCAGGGCCTCCTGGGCAGGGCACTTCCGCCCGCCCATTCCTGCTCCCCACGTGGGTTGCAGGGCGAGGGTGGCCAAGCCAAGCCCTGCCTGGGCAGTTGCCAGGCCCAGGGCCCCACGGCTGGCCCTCACACCTGACTGGAGCAGCTGACCTCTAGCACCTGGCGTTGGGCTCTGTCCCCAGCTGGGCAGCCAGCCGTGGAGTCCCGGCGTGAGCGCTGGACCAGATGCCCGCTCCTCCCTCCGAGTGTCCTTCCCTGAGGAGCTCAGAGCACAGCCGTCCACCCTCAGCAGCGAGGCCACCTCTGGCCCCAGGGCCTTGGACCATCAAGAGGAAAGCTGCTCTCTGGGCCAGGGTGTCCCTGGGTGGACGTGTGGACGCGAGGCTGAGGGGCAGAGAGGTCTCTGTTGGCGGAAGGTGCGCAGCCCATGGCGGAGCCCCAGGCCCTCGGGGAGAGACAGTGTCGGGGACAGGGGAGACTCCCAGCTGGGCAGGGGCGCGTGGGTGATCCTGTTGTGAACTCCCACACAGAGCGTCCAGTTTTGAGGGCTGGACTTGAATTTCCAGGAGACTTGGGCAAGCGACCCCCTCCCTCCAGACCCCAGTCCTGCCCTGGAAGACACGGGCTCTCCCTGTCTCCCCTCCCTCTGTCCAGGGACGTCGGGAGGCCAGGCCGGGCCGCAGGCGTCCGAGGCGACTCTCGGTGAGTGCCCGGCTCCGAGCCCCGATTCCCTTGTCTCGGCGAGACTTTCTACGGGAAGGGGCGCCCCCGTGGCTCTGGGGCAGCAGAGACTCCCAGGCGGGGCGAGTGGACAGGGCAGGAGGGGAGGGCAGGCTTCCCGTCTGCTGTGGGCCCCTCCAGGGAGACCAGAGCGCCCCAGGAAGCCAGGGAGGACCCCCGTGGGGATCAGCTTTCCCCGGGGAAGGCCGCCTCCGGCCTCTGGTCTGTAATTTGGCAACACAACCCCAAATAGATAAGATACGGCGCTGGCCGTGGACGCTGGCCCGAGGCGCAGAACAGTAGCTGGCCTTTGGGACTTTTCCCTCCAAGGCCGATCTTTTCAGAAGGAAAAATATGACAAAGCTGCTACTGTCGCGTCCAGCTGGGCAGACCCATTTATTTTTAACCCGGTAGGAGGAGCCAAGTGGTGGACATACCTTCACACACTCACCCACGCCCGCAGAGCGGGGGACACAGAATGCACCCCAGCAGACCAGGGGTTCCAGGTAATCAAAACAAGTCTGTGCTGTCACAGCCAAGGCCCCAGGACAGCAGGTGCAGGGACAGCAGCAACACAGCCACTGGGCAGCTACACAGCAGCACTGGCTGCACCAGCTGCTCTGCAAATCTAAGACTGCTCCAAAGACAACGCCAAACCACAGCCCCTTCTCTACTGAGGCTGCCGTTTGTCCTAAGGGTACTGTCAATCATTTTAAAGGTCAAGTTTGGAGACTTTCATGTGATGTTTCTGGGGAGAGACTGGGCATTGGGTGATTCTCCATTTGATGACTGAGTTACTAACTAAGCATTTGTAAGTGTTTTTGCTGTTCCCAAGCAGGAGTTGTGCAGCTTGGCCTTGTCCCGAGCCGAACAGGGTAAGCACCCCACCCTGATGCGAAGGTCAACCTCACATTTCCTGACCTCCTCAAGCAGCCTCCGCACTTGGCAAGAATAAAACAGCAACAAGTGAGCACCGAGTTACTGACATCGTTATTTTAATCTTTGGACAAGTGATTGAGCCCTAGGGTGCTCTAGCACACCCCCAGCCCTTTTTATTTTTTATTTTGAGACAAGGTCTCACTAAGTTGCGGAGGCTGGTCTTGAACTCATGATCCTCCTGCCTCAGCCTCCTGCGCCACTGCCTGTGTCGGGACACCGTCACACAGATGAGGACCCTCCCAGGCCTCTCACTCCCTGCGGGGCCACAGTCATGGGCACTGGGTCCAACACATCCTTCTGGGAGGTCACAGCCCGACACACGGCTAACTTCTCCGTGTGCAGGGCCACAGGGGAACTCCCCGGCTTCGGGAGTCCACTCCACCGAGGGCCTGCTACCACCCATGGCCTCCTGACCAGCTGCCCCAACCTGCCAGCTGCCCAAGTGGACAGACCCACAGGGAGCTTTCTGGCCCCGCCCATTCCTCTGGCCAGGAGCCAGGAGCAGCCCAGCAGGTCCCCCGGCTGGGGACAGCTCACAGGGCAGCTGGGCTGTGGGGGCTGCGGTCATCTGGGCCTCACGGGGCGAGATGGGTGGGTCCACGCAGGGGCTTCTCTTGGGGGGAGGCTTCATCCCCCGCCCCCACCCCCAGACCTGGCGGCTGCCCC